ATACTATGCAAGTGAGAAATGGGTTTTTTGTTAATGAAATGGATTTTTTGTGTCTATTTTACATTAAATAATTTAAGTTTCGCAAATGTAGATTTTCACTTGACTTATTATTTAGTCAAGTGATATTCAATCAGGTAATTTCATGACATTACAAACCGGTTTTAAGTGACAGATATTATGAAAATCATTTAAAATTCAGCATTATGCAAAAGTGAACAAATCCGCCAATATGCTTTATAAAATAGAACTGTTACTGTATTTTTTTAATTCACTTTTCAATTTTAATTCTTCTATTGAATCAATAATAATATATCTTATAAGATTTAACACAGGTCGAAAAGTGAAAAATCAGGCACCAATCGGTCACCAATCAGGTACCTGATTGGTGACCGATTGGTGCCTGATTGATGCCTGATTTTTCACTTTTCGACCTGTATAATTTTTGTAAACAAATAATAGGAATTTATTATTAAATTTCTAGTAATTATATTTTGTTTATAATTAATATTGGCATTAATTTTTTTAACTATTTATTACTGAATAAACCATTATATTTTGTATTTTTGCAGAATTTGTAATGATTATATTAATATAAATTTTAATATTTTTTATTTGAATTGGTATTTGTTAAACTATTTTTAAAAATAAAAATTTTTAATCAGTTACATTAATAATTTTAATATTTGTAAGTAATTTAATTTTTTTATTGATTTGGTTTAAAAATCTTTTTAAGATGATATATTTAACATCAGCTTTTTTTGATTTAAATATACTGGTTTTTTTTTAATTAATTGTTTTAAAATATTCTCATAATAATTAATTAAAGTAAAAGTTAATTCATAAATTCAGTTTATTATAATTCTGAATACTATTTCAGATAAAATAACTGGATGTTTTGAATTTAAATAAATCATTAATAAAGGTTTAAATATCAACAATATTAAAAAAAAAGGAATAATATGTATATTATATTCTTTTTATTTTCTCTTTCAGAATATTTACTATATTAGTATATATATGGGCATTTTGCAGTAGAAAAGGATAAAACTACTAAAAAAATTCAAATTTTCTTTTATATGCCAAAAATATTCCAAATGCTATAATTTGATCAGATTTTATATTAACTTATTTTTTATTTTTTTTAGTGGTTTTGTTCTTCTCTACTGTAAAGCGTCTATATGCAATATATTGTACTAATTTGGTATTATTTCAACATGATATTTGTTTAAAATTAAAAATAAAATATTAAATCTAGAAAAAAGAGTTGCAAAAAGATTGATGTTTTGTATCAGAGATTTCTTTATATTATATCATCTATATAAAAGATTTATAATAGCTATATAAATATGTAAGCATTTAATATGATTGTAATATTTGCTTTATAAATACTTATAATTTTAGTTTATTGTTTTATAATTTTATGAATAGTTATTCAATTACCATTTTTTATTTTATTAAATTTGTTAATACTTAATATAATAAATACTATTATCAGCAAGTACCAAAGTATTATACTTTGAAATATATTATAAAAAATAGTCAATTAGCATGTAAATATATATTAGTTTATATAAATAATTTAAAAGTTACTTAAAATTATTTTATTTATTATAGGATTAGTAGTCATAGATACTGTCAAGGTAACTTTATATCTGATAATATATATATCATGTAATATTACTTTTAATATATATTTAAATAATTATGATTTTACTATACCAGATTTTTCATAAAATATGTTTAAGTAATAATAATAATAAAGCTATTTTTATATTATTATGACCATAAATTTTCAATGCTATACATTTTAACAATTTTGTATAAACATCTGAATCTCAAGTATTATGTTTATTTGTCATCTTGCTTTTTAAATTGTTGAATATATTGACCTTTTAAATAAACATAAAAATAAACTAGTAGTATTCTGATAATCTTGATGTCTAAAATTATTTTATTTGTTATAAAATCATGAGTCACAGAAACTATCAAGCTAACTCTAGAATTACTATGTTTGGTAATATATATTTGATACTAGAATTTTTCATAAAATATATGGGTAAGTGTTGGAAAAAGGGATTAAATTGACAAAATTTTTTTCAAAATAACAAATATTCTGGATCAAATAATTAGATCTATATTTATTTTACTTATAAATTTTTTGAAAAAAATTTCAATTTGATACTTTTTTTTAGCATTCATCTTCATATGTTCAAGTTTTCTCTAATTTTTAATATGTTTTCAATCAATAATAATAATAAAGTTATTTTTATAATATCATTATAGTAACTAAAAATTTCCAGTATTATACATTTTAAAAATTTTGTATAAATATTTGGATCTTAAATATATTTTATTTATTATCTTACTTTTTAATCTATTAAATATATTAACTTTTTAAATAAATATCAGTTAATAAACTAGTAGTATTCTGATAATTTTGATATAGTAATTTAAATTTAATTTATATATACAGTAAATAAATTAATATTATAAAATTGAATTTCATTTAATTAAAGTAAAAATTAATTTGAAAATTATATAAAGAATTTTTTTAATTTTTTTACTATAAGGTATTTAATTTTGGGTATTTTTAAATAAATTATTAAATTGTCTTTTATTAGTATAAACTGTCAATATAAAGATAATTTAATGATCAATAATGATTGATATGATATTAAATTAAATATAAATATCATTATAAAACTAATCTCATTTTTTAAAACTAGTTTATACAAAATGGTATATAAAAAAGTAAAAGTTATTAAACTAAACAAATCATTATCTATATCTATATCTATATCTATATCTATACTTACTATATAATAATTGTTTTATGTGTACCCTGTATAAATAAATTTGAATTGCGTAACATCGCTCCCATTGGGCACTTTATCACGTGACGTTATACGAACTTCCAAAAAAGGAAATTTTGCTTCCCACAAAAATAGGGAATTTTGGTTTCACAAATACTCCAAAAAAGGAAATTTCTGCGCCGATCACATAATTCCGGCCAGAATTAATTGTTACATACAGGTCACGCTTTTTATATGTATGTATACCGTTGCAAAGCAATGGGTTAACGGCTAATTAAATATAATAAAGCTATTGTAATTTATATACAATTAAGCAAAAGAAACAGGTCAATATCTATACTCTAAAAAATAGAAGAAATGAAGCAGCAATTATTAAATTTTCAAATATATATATATATTGTGCCTTAGATTGATTCTTGCCTCAGATTGAAGCTCACGCACATCAGATTGAGATTGTCATCTGACACACCTCAATTGCTAATAAAAATGAGCTATAATTAAACATCAAAATTTCCAATTTTAATATATTTTTAAGTACTAAGTAAACTTTTTATCATTATTTTAAGTATACAATCCTAAAATTTCAGATTAATTGGAATCATACTCATTAAATTTTTTCATTTGAAAAATGACCTAAAATTTAATGATTTTTCAGATAAAATACAAGTATAAACTTCAATATAAATCAGATTTACATAAAAATTTCAGGAAACATGTAACTCATTATGGCACACAAATTTGTTTATATAACAAAAAGTGGTTTAATTAATGAGAAAAAAAGTTTACTTATAACAGACTTTATCGAATGATTCAAATGAGGTGCGTCAGGTGACAATCTCAATCTGAGATGCGTGAGCTTCAATCTGAGGCAAGAATCAATCTGAGGCGCAACATATATATTTATAATAAAAGAGAAAGGGATTAAAATTTAAATGCACTTGCATTTTAAATATGCCTTCTTTTTGGAAATTTTTATATAATAAAAATGCTGATTATTCTATTATGTGATACTGGAGAAATACTTATAAATGAATTCATATTATATATATATTTTTATCTTCTCTACAATTTTACTTACTATGGCAAAAAGAGTTTAAATTTTAAAACTTCATTTTTGACTTATACCATAAGGGTTATTCAAATGCAGGTATGTTTAAAATTTAAACTTAAAGAGAAATAGTATAAAGGTTTTTAAAAACTATTAAAATATAATTCCATTTATTTATTTTATTTTACAATATTTTTTTTTTTATATTAAAGTCAAATCAAAAAATTCCAATTAAAAAATTTTTTTCTAATAATCAAATAAATATATATAAGTTGAAAATAAAAATTAAAGTTGAAATTACATCATAATATATAATTTCAAATTGTTGTAAAATAATTTCATTAATATTAATGAATCATATATCATTTAAATTCTTTCAATAATATGAATTGAAGTTATTAGAATCTGATCACTAAATATGTCTAAACATTTAAGTATGAATAAAATGGTAGTAATAATTTCATTCTGAATTATAATACCAATTAAATTATAATTTTTATGACTGGTAATTTGTTGAAGAATTTTTAAAATTTTAAAAAGGTTTTATTTTATTATTGGGTATAATTTACATTAATAAATAGTAATTCATAAATTATAATATAACTGTTATTTAGAAAACTTCATTTATTTTATTTATTTTAAGATATTTAGTAGTAATTTATTTCATTTTTTGTAGGCATTTTTAATAGACTTTACAAAATCCTTGTCAGAATTTCCATCAGGACAATCATACCAATCTCCTCCATCTCTGATACATCTCTTATGTCCATCAATAAAGATCGTGCAACTTACGTTTGCTTGATTTGCTTTTGATTTCTGAACACTTTTAATAAATAAATTTAAACCAGTATCAGAATTTACGCATTTATCTATTGGATCATAATCCTGTCCAACTTCTTCAGAACATTGTTTAGCCCATTCATGTGAGCCAATACGATCAAACGAGCGATGAATGCACATGAGATAATTGAAAAAAGTTAATTGATTTGAATTAACTTCTTGGAAACAAAGTTCTTGAATGTTTCCTTTGTTAGAGAAAAGATAATTCCATTCTTAGTAAAAGAAGAGAGAACAAACAAATTTGAAGTTTCCTTTGATATATACCATTGCATTCTAGATCTCCATGTTTACATGTAGCTCCATATGTAGCAGAAGAATTTAATGTAGCAATATAATTGGTTTTAAAAGTTGAAATGTCGTTTACTTCTTTTACTATTTATTTCCGCAATAACGAAAATTCATTTTTAAAAATATAAATAATACAAATTATATTGTGATCAATTGCATGTTTTACATACCAACATCTGCCATAACTTCTTCGCACGCGACGGCGTCTGGACAACGGCTCATTACAAATAACTCCACGGGAATCTTTTCCCTTTCGTGATCATTTTGTTCTTTCGTCGGAACATTTAAAAGTTTTCCTAAAATATAAAGAAAATAAATAAAAATAAGAAGTAACAAGATGGAACGACAAACATGTGTTTCCATTGTTATATCATAAAAAGCAAAATACCGAAGAAATTATTTAATGACGTGTTATTTATATTTAACTTTCACAATTAAAATCATGTCAACCAATTTCAGCCAATCAATGAAAAAAACGATTAGGCGGCAAATTCCTTTAAATATGAGGACATTGCTACAAGCATCGATCTTGCTATCAGGGTTTCAGAGATTGAAATTGAACAGAGTTTATGGTCATGTGATTTTTACTATTATCCAAAATCAGTTTTTCAAACATAATTTAAGATTAAGACATGCCAAATGAAAAAATACATCTGAGCTAATTATCATCAAACTTTACACAAGTCACTGATCAAGGAATCTATTTTATTAGTCATGATATATTCGGAAAGGTATAAATACATATAAAAATTGTTTTAAAGCAATGTTTTAAAATCCGAGTTTTATAGACGAGTTTGAACTTCTTAATAATATACCAAGGAACAATCTTCCTGACCTATCAAGATCGATACTTTTGCAACATTGCCTTTCTTGTGGCTGAACACAACGATCTGCAACCACGAGATTGATATCCTAAATAATCACGTTGGCAAATATTTGAAATATTTGAGCGTGAGCGGCCGAGTTTCTGAGCGAGCATAACAAAATAAATTTCAATTTTACACAATTAATTCTTTAAAAAGAAGTTATGGAAGTTATAAAACCTAAAACAAACTACGTTAAAGATAGTGGTAAGCGTAAAACACCATATAAAAATTTTATAACTTGATGCTTGACGCGTCTTTTTGAATAACTTTCTAATTTGAAAACGCGTAAAAAAGAGGAAATACTCTCTTTTATTGAAAGATATCGAGATAAGGCACAAGATAATATCGAAATTGACCAAGATAATATGGATATTGATGTGGAAACTGTGTTACCTTCTAGATATATGGAAAAGCTTGTGAGTTATTATTTAAGACGAAGTAAAAAATTTATGGTTCTTCTCTAAATGCATCAAACTTTGCAATCATTAGAAAGCGGTAGCAAATCGTGAGGAAGATAAAATCGTTATCGAGCTTGATGACATTCAAGATGTAATCTTTTTTAGGTTTTTTCTTCGAAATTAATTATTATATGAAAATAAGTTTATTGACTTTAAGATATATTTATTTAGTTCGAAGATAGTGGAAATGTTGCTAATGGTTTAGTTCACAAAATTCTGACGAACACATGGCGTTATATCGAATTAATTTATCGAATTTGTGATAAATTAATGCCTCCACCCACGAAACCTATTGGTCATATGGATGATGTTTTGGACGTAATCATGCAACACCGAAAGGATAAAGATCAACAGAGAGCGCCGGAAGATAAAACACGCTTCCCGGCTGCTTTAACACGAAGATAGTGAGTTTTCAAATAGTAAACGAATTGACAAACAATTGACATTTAAAAATTTGCTTATATTCAATTATTTTTTCTATTTTTGGTTTTATATCATTAAAGTTCGCTATACATAAAACCATTAAAATCCGAAGACCCATTGGCTATTCGTGAAATTAATGGTTCCTATGTAGGTCATTTAGTAACCGTCAAAGGAATTATCACACGTGTTAGTGATGTCAAACCTTTCTTATTAGTTGCGGGATATTCATGTGAAATGTGTGGTGATGAGGTATTTCAAGAAGTTACTAAAAAGAATTATACACCTCTCATGATGTGTCCTTCTGAGAAATGTCAGAAAAATAATGTGAAAGGAAAATTATATATGCAAACCCGTACATGCAAATTTGTTCCTTTTCAAGAAGTCAAGATGCAAGAACTGGTAATGTGATTCATCAATCTTTATAAGGGACAATGAATATTGTAATGTTAATTTTATTTTTTTAACTAGACCGAACAAGTTCCAGTAGGACATATTCCTCGATCTATGACAATATTTTTACATGGAACTTTGACCCGCTCTATGAATCCAGGTGACATAGTTAATGTTTCCGGTATTTTCCAAGCGACACCACATCAAGGTTATCGGGGTACTACTAGTCTGTTAACTGATGTTTATTTAGAAGGTCAATATATTCAACAGCTTAAAAAGCAATATGACAAAATGGTAATGACCCCTGATATTTCAGAAAAGATACAAGAATTTGCTCGAGATCCAGATGTTTATACGAAATTGTCAAAAAGTATAGCACCAGAAATTTTTGGTCATGACGATATAAAAAAGGCTTTGTTATTGTTGCTGGTTGGAGGCGTATCAAAATCAATGGGTGATGGGATGAAAATTAGAGGAGACTTAAACATATGTCTTATGGGAGATCCTGGTGTAGCAAAATCACAATTACTTAAATACATATCGAAGGTAGCCCCACGTGGCGTATATACTACCGGACGCGGTAGTTCTGGAGTTGGCCTGACGGCATCTGTGACTCGTGATCCTGTAACGGATGAAATGGTTTTAGGTAACTTTCGAATTATTTGCATAAACTAATATACATTTTACGCGCTAATTGACCGTCTTTTTATGGTATATTCCAGAGGGTGGTGCTTTGGTACTTGCCGATAATGGTATTTGTTGTATTGATGAGTTTGATAAGATGGAAGACGGGGATCGAACAGCTATTCATGAAGTTATGGAACAGCAAACTATAAGTATCAGTAAAGCAGGTATTACAACCACGTTAAATGCTCGCACATCCATATTAGCCGCTGCGAATCCTCTATACGGACGATATAACACAAAGAAATCTCCGACACAAAACATCAATCTTCCCGCGGCTCTTCTTTCTAGGTTTGATATTTTGTTTTTGATTTTGGATAAACATCTTATTGAAGATGATACCAAATTAGCGCAACATGTTGCACATGTGCACCAGTATGGTAAACATCCCGAAAGAGGAAATGATATTTTGGAAGTCCAAATGATTAGGTAAAAAGACAATGTAACATGCATATTATTTCCTTTTTTTTAAAAAAAATATTGTTGATATCTAACCCTTTATTAATGATTTATTTAGACACTACGTTGCAGAAGCGCGTTCAAAACGTCCAGTTGTTCCATCTGAAGTAGCATCATATATGGTTTCATCATATGTTCAAATGCGTCAAGATCAGGCAGATGCAATGGCTCGTAAACAAGAACACACTTATACAAGTGCACGTTCACTTTTGGCAGTAATTCGTTTGTCTCAAGCATTAGCTCGTGTTCATCTAAGAGATGAAGTCATGAGACAAGATGTTGCTGAAGCATTAAGATTACTTAATGTTTCTAAAGAATCGTTAAATGATTCAGATGATAATCTGCCAACTGGGAGACTCTTTCACATTGTCAAAAATCTTTTCAAGGACACGGATAGTCTTCCATTGGATGATATTAAGGATGAAGTGCTTTCAAAAGGTTTTAGCGATGAACAATTAATGGATATTATTCAAGAGTATTCAGTTATGGATATATGGGAATTAGATGAAACATCAACGACATTAAAATTACTTAATAGAAATGATAATGAAGATGAAGAATTATAGATTATATAGACGATAAAATTTTGGGTCAAAAAAAATTGTCAACCTATTTTTAATGTTTTAAAAATATGAATTATACAATAATAAACAATTATCTAGATTGACAAAAAAAACTAGTTCTACACAGTTGATGAGTAAGCTTTCTTACTTTCATATGATTATTATAATAATAAATCTAACATAAATTTGATTGTGTCGTTTGAATGAACCATAACTCGACTTCTCGAAAAATAAACTTTATTTGAGGTCATCATCGTCGAAATCATCAGGGAAGTCTAGTTGAATTGCAAAATAAATTAAAGTCAATAAAGAAAGGTTAATTTAATTCGAAATTTTTTTATTACCGTTGAAAAAATCTTGATCCACCGTTTTATCTCCTTGTTGATTTTGTCGATGATGAGCGCCACCTTTATGATGTGGATGAGGACTTGGAAAAAAACTTTCTTCATAACCTCCATGATGACCATGATGGCTACTGCCTTCTCTCATATAACTTGACTGAGGATGATAGGAAGGACCGGCTGTCCCATCTAGCTGTCCATCTTCGTATTCATCCATTGCCATAGGATCAAAGTAATCATCTAATTAAACCATAAATTTTAAATAAATTCTTCGTTAGAACACATTACGTCGTTGTTTATTTGTTCAAAAAAACAGTTCGAACTATAATACTAACAGCATTTAGAACTTTTAACTTACCGTCACCTTCTGGCATTTGAGACATATTGTCGCTTTCGATATTCTTAGAAATACGCTTTCTTTTACCTATCGTGAATATTGTGACTAGTTTCTAATTTTGTTTAAGTTTCAAAGTAAAGCCTAAAAGGTTTTTACTTAATCATAACAAATTTCTATATTTATCTGCAAGTGATCGGCTATGTATAATAGTTGTTTGATATATGACGTATTAACTGTCGTCACAGTCGTCACCTAACTGAAGAGTGAGCGAGCGCAGAATTGCTTTTTTACAAACAGAGTATGGCCATTCGTTTGTTGATTCGACTTTCTTTAGCTTTCCCACACTGACTATTTCAGTCAATCAACGCAAGTATAGTTTCATTTTTTTTTATTCGTATAACGTTAATGACATGAGGGAAATGAAGCAGATTTATAATGGTGTTTAATATTCCATCAATTAGAAAACTAAACCTTTATTGTTATTCGAACTTTAACACTTATAATTGATAAACTTTTAAAACCCAATAAAAATCAATTTTACATTTTAGATACATTCAAATGTAATTATATGTGAAATAACACTTCAATTGAAAGAATAAATTAAGTTCAATCATTCTTTTGGTTACTTCTCCGGGGTCGTACGCTAAGCCAATTCAAGAATGATTCAGCTTAATGTTTCTTTTCAACTAAATTTTCAATGTCAGTATTCATAATTGCATTATTATCCATCTCTTCCGATCTTACTTTCCCCTTTCCAATAGCTTTAATTTCGTTTCTCAATACATGTAATTGGCCAAGTTGCTGTTCGCTAAATTTCTCCAAGATGTTCGAATCAAATTTCTTTCCATACGTTATATTTTCAGGTTGCAATTTTGAAGCGTTTGTTTGAATTTTTAATTTATCCAAATAAACTTGCCACTGATCAATAAATCCCACAATTTGAATTGGATTTGCTACATCTTTATGACGTCTAAATTCAGCTTTAACATAATCATCGCCTAGTGAACGTAATGAAAGTGGTAATAAACGATGGGTTCGCAAAATTTGACGGTAGAGAATTAAAGGTGGAAGAAGGTTTTTTGTTCGAGATAAAGTTTTTGATGCCATTTAAAAAATTAGGTAAAATTTTTTCGGAATATAAGTTGGCTATTTATTATTAATACACCGCAGTAAAGTTTACTACCAAATTCAGGTATGGTCTGTGCTGTTTGAAAGTTTATGTGCGAGAATTTCATTCCCTTTCGTGTCAATTCGATAAAATACGTGGAGCTCTCGCGTCTTCTATGTTTCTTGTTGTATCTATCCTTTAATTTTTCATTAGTTTTTATATAATGCAAAAATATTTTTACTAAAATATAATATATTTCGAAATTTGTTTCTGGGCATTAAATTTTAGAGTTAATAAAGATATTTAAAAGATATTTTTCATTTACCGCCGTCGCTGTTTATATTTTTATTTTTGTGTAAAATATAGACTGAATTTTTATTGAACACTAAAAATCAATCCTTATCATTCATTATTGGTTAACCCTCTAGAGTTGTAAAAGAATAATGAACAGTGATTTTGAAGACTCAAGACTTACAACAGCTTGGCTGGAAGCTCTTCCTTATCATCCAATTTTTAATTCTGAAAGATTAGGAGAGACGTCTGAAGATTGTAAGATATTTATTTTAATTGCTTTAGTTGAATACAAATAATACGTATCTCATGATTTCGTATTTAAATAATCAGTCCAAGGATTAAAATTTTACGGTCAGCCACGAACAAAACCTTCATGTATAACAGCTACAGGTAGCAAACTTCTTATCGTGGCAATAGATTCAGAAATCAGAATCCTAAATTTGATGGAATTCAAGCTTGCATGGCGTGAAGCATATGATCATAATCAATTCGATACACTTGAATTCGATGATTACTTACCGGAATGGATAACAAACGTCAAATATATCACACTTCATACACCACAAATAAAATATTCCATCCGTTCGCTCGTTGTCAATTTTAAAGAAAAAGGAACATTACTTGCAGTTGTTGGTGACTATGAACTTTCTGTGTTAATCATACCGAAATCTGTATATTCAGAAATAAGCAGCGAGAAAATTACTTGCAAGTTAAGATAATTTTTATTTTAATTTTACAAGTATTATTTTTTACTGATATCGATTCATCGTGATTTCAACTTCAATAGCGTCTATAATGTCGGACCATACTATCATGTTATAGGGTTAAGTCCCATAGCAAAGGTTCTATGGCATCCCATGAGTGAATCAGGTTCACATTTAATGGTTCTTACAGAAGATATGCTGTTAAGGTTCTATACATTCGAAATATTTTAACATCCTGTAGTCCATTTTCATTGATTAATAATATTCGTTCTCAATTTAGAATGTATAATATAGTTAACGATAAAAATGAACCTGAACAAACATTTAATTGCACACAAACTGCACAAACTTCAAATGAAAATCACCGAAAAAAAGGGAAAGCAGTATCCTTCTGTTTTGGACAGTCTTCTGAAGCTTGGGGCAATTTTGTAATATATGTCTTAACAAATTTGGGAGAAATATACGCTATGTGTCCAGTCGTACCAAATAAATGGTAGGAAGTTAATAATAAAAATGACTTTCTTTAAATTTCAATATATGTATTTAATTGATCTTTTTTTTACTAGTGTTTGTGAAAAATTTTTTCTCGAGATGCTCTCGAGTTACATTAAACGTAAATATGAACGCGGTGAAAAGATAGTTGAAACTAATCCCAACAATCGGGAAGATTATTTAGATATATTAGAACAATATAGGCTGCAATTTAATTGGATTAAAAGAGTATTTATGGATTTGGATAATAATTTTCAGACAGCTGTATTCAGTCCTCCACCATTCGAGAAATTTCGAGTTGAAGTTCAAGGTCCATTCAATATTAATCCAGAACCTTTAACAATATCTGATCACTCATATGAAGCAAGTGATATATTGATGTTAGGAACGGAACCTCTTAACGTTTTGGTAGTAGCTTTCACTAATGGTAGGATAGATATTTGTATTGAGACTGAAAAGATTGAGGCAATGTGGCAAATTCCAGCCATTGTAAGTGATGTCATATTAATGTTAGAATTTGATTAGGATTAGTAAGTTTTGATGTATTATAATTTTTGACAGGTGCCTGGAGAATATACAGCCCATGATTTAATACTTTATGAATGTATTGACCTTGGTTATATTAAAGACTACGTTGTGCCGTCTACTGGCTATGAACCACAATTAACAACTTCAATAAATCGTCCGTGTCTTGTACCAGATCCTTATTATCGAGACATATTTTATATATATCATTTGGCCGGTGTACATGGAATCAATGTAAAAGGATGGTTAGATGAACTAGGGAAAGTTGTAAACCAAGCAACTTGTAAGGATTCTTTGGATGAACCTATTTATGAATCTTTTTTTTCAAAAAATCTTAAATCTCAAATAAATTGGATTGCCTGTACACAGCCTAGGTAAACTTTTAAATAGATATTTGATTTTTATTATTAACATTATAATACTAATTTGTTCTGTTATTTAGTGATCCAGATCCTTTAATCGGACTTACAATAATGGAAGATATACAACTTTGCTATGCGGCGTTTATGCTTTCATCTACGTACGGGTTCGTTTTCCATGAATTATCCGCTCGTAAACCTTTAAAAACCTACGATAGCGTTCTTCTTAATGAAGAATTAAGTCCAAAAAAAACTTTTGATATTCCAAAAATTAACCCAATACCGGAGACTTTGACTAGATTTTTAGATAATCAGGGTCTCTCCCATCAACCGAAAATGGTACCGCCACGTAATCAACAAAATAACCGAGGAAACGAAATTGATGTAGAGTTCTTTCATACTGTAATGGGAAATTTCCAAAAAGATGTTTATGAAATTAAGGAAGCTGCTATGGCACTTCAAAAGAGGTAAATCGATTTAATTACTTAATAAGTTATTCGTTTAACGTTTAGGTTCAATTAATGATAATGATTAATATGATTAATAGGTTCGATTTTCAAACTAAAGAATTATATCGACAGATTATGGAAATCGCGAATTTACGCAATAATATTGAAAATTATTCTGAAGACAGAATACAACAATTGAGTGAACGTTTGAATAGTTTGAAAAATAGACAAATGTACCTTGATAGTAAAGCTGATAGAATTATTCAAAGAATAATGAACAAGGGAGATCCAATTGTTAGTGAATTTGAGAAACAATATTATGATTCGTTGGAAGAAATAGCAAAAGCAATCAAAGGCGATGACGGCCTAAAAAACAAAATGATTATGGTACTTTTTTTAAAAATTTATTTGTATTTTAATTTAAGGATACTTATTTAAGACATATATATATATCTTTTTTTCGTTTTACTCTTATAGCTTCAGAGTCGGCACAAATATTTACAAGAAGATTATAAACTTTTGAAACCTGAACTAGAAAAGGATTCGTTAGGACAACCAATTATTCTTAGTGGAAGTCAATTAAGCAAAGTTGAAAACGCGTTGAATCAAGAGTATGATACCATCTAATTTTTTTATTTCAGTTTTTTTTTAATGAAAATTCTTTAATCCTCTTCCTTTTTGATAGGATGGATCTTATCGATAATAATGTACGATTGATTGAAGTAGTTCAAGAAAAATTGAAACTTATTAAAATCAATTAATAAATTGGGGGGTGTTTGTGTATTATTAAAGGCTTGTTTCCACTGGCTTTTATACAAATACAATAAAGAAAATATGAACTTTAAATTTATTTTATTAATTCAAGTGAACATAATGGAATTGGCCCAAGTTGTAAACTATATTAAAGTTACTAGGCATTCGTACCATAATTCAAAACTTTCCCAGACTCTTTCAAATGTTAAGAAAATTCTCCTATACAAAATCTGAACAAATTTTATAATATTTTGCTTCGCTTATATACAATTGCTTTATTCAGACTCCTAGGCTTAGAACTACCAAACGTATTTTAGTTAGACATTAGAAAAAAAAATAATGAATTAAAGCGCAACATTAATTTATTATTGTGGCCTATTTATTTATGTTTGTCTTTATAATTCACGTGTACTGTCTACTATACTAAATTAGGCTAGAAAAAACAATGATGTTAGTTTTGCCGTTTTATTCCGGCACTTCGGATTTCAGACAAACTCTATCTGATTCAATCTATACAACTTTCGCTTTTTAAAATGGCCACGCCGCCGCTTCCAAAAAGAATTATTAAGGTAAATTACTTTTTTCTAATAGTTTTATTCCTTATCTGATAACCGTTCTTTTAGGAAACTGAAAGATTGATCGCGGATGCAGTACCTGGCATTAATGCCAAACCTCATGAAGAAAACCTTCGTTACTTTGACGTTGACATCACAGGACCAGAACAGTCTCCCTTTGAAGGTTTGCTTTTTTGATTATATTCCTAATTTTATTTTATCAAGATGTACCCACGTAAATAATGATGTTAATATGATTCTTTGTTGTTTTCTAGGTGGCGTTTTTAAACTTGAGTTGTTTCTTCCTGAAGAATATCCAATGTCACCACCAAAAGTTCGTTTTTTAACCAAAATATATCATCCGAACATCGACAAGTTAGGTAGAATTTGTTTAGACATTTTAAAAGGTTTGTAAAATTTGATTTATGCTATTTATGCTTTATTTTGATCAATGGTCCAATTTCATGTAAATTTTGAATGTTTGTTTTAGATAAATGGTCGCCGGCGTTACAAATTCGTACGGTACTTCTCTCCATACAAGCACTTCTTTCTGCCCCAAACCCAGACGACCCCTTAGCAAATGATGTAGCACAACATTGGAAAGATAACGAACAGGAAGCTATTGCAAAAGGTAAGATAGATCGATTTTTAAATAAACAAACAAACAATATTTATTTATTTATTCTTTTTAATTATATGTACATAAGCTCGCGAATGGACCCAAACATACGCTGAGAGGTTAGCTCCTCCTCAGGAATAAGATCTTTTGTCAAGGATTGTATCAAAAGAGTATCACCTTCATTTCATTTGTCACACTTACACCATCATGAATTCTATAACACCATAAATATTTGTCATTGGATATAATGAAAGATTTGTTAATTGTTAGACGTAATTTTCTTTTGTTTTTTATAAAAAAAATTATTTTGTATGTTATGTAGTATAAATCACTATTTTGAGTTATCATATGAGAAATTTTTCTCATATGATTCCTCATAATCATTATAATAGAGTAGCAAATTTTGATATCTTTAATTACTCATAGCGTGTATTTGTTATATGATTCCGCATCATTTACATGTAGGAAAATGTCTAAGATTGGAATTTGATATTTTCATTAGAAATCCTTTCGACTCTAGATTTTAATATAATGAAACTTCTTAAATTGTCCAACGCCATTTTAATGGATGCTGCGCCAATAATATACTGATTTAAACTTCACCAATCTTTTGTCCATATTTGATCTTTTGTCCTGGTTTCATATAAAACTTAAAATTAAATGGTGCTTCAAACACCAAAACTATAGTAGAACCTAAACAAAATCCACCCATTTCATCACCAGTTCTCAATGGCTGTCCGCCAAGTAATTTGCTAGCCTTCTTATAAGAAACCTCCGTATACGTTCCAACCGGCAAATCTTCTCTTCGATTAGTCCGGAGAGCCTGAGATAACAATCATAAGCTGTGGAAAAAACGCATCCCTTTGTTTCCCTTTATTAATGATCTAAACAATTCCACTCAATTCATTTTAAATACCTTATCAAAATTAATTCGGATAGAACCTACGTTTGTCGCCCCAACTGGAATCATTGAAAAAAATCCATATCTCCATCTTCCAAGTAACGCAACGCGTTCATTTAAAGCCAATAAATCTGGCAACATTTTTAACATATATGGCGATACAGAGAACAATTCTCCTAAAAACAAAAATTCTTGCTTTTTAGTTCTTAATAATGAATATTATTAAAATACACATATACCTGCAAAATGTCGTCTCTTTTCGACAACCCAGTTTGTTGGAGAATGAAACCTATGATAATCTCCAGGAGAAAGGTATATTACGCAAAAATAAAGTGCGTTTCCTTCCTTAACTTCATGTAAGTTTACACTTTTTGCCACAGCTATTTCTTTTTTATAATTATTTTCTTCAGATTGAACTGAAGCATCTTCACCAACACTACTGACTTGTTTTGTAGCATCAACTGGATCATCACCAAGCAAAGCATCTAGGGAATACGTGATGCCATTAACATTTGCAAATTCCTTTTCATCGGCAATGTGAGTCGATGTAACTACTTCGACGATTTGTTTCCCCGGTTCAATCACATCATATTTTCCCTCCTTGCGACCTAAGAATGCATCTAGTGAATAAGTTATTCCTTTCACTTGTTCTACTTTTCCATTGTTAACTAATCCAAAACTTAATACTTTGCCATCTGCCGGTGATACCTTTAAACAATCATTAATGATAAAAATCTGTTAATAAAAATATAAAAGAATAAAATTGAATAACAGAACTAAAAATCATATCCAGATCCCACAAGTGTTGCATTTTCTATGGGCCTCATACCCGGCTTTAATGACCTATAGAAAAAAGAACCTAAATTTGGATAACTTTTTAAATCAGTATTTTCAATTTCCTCCAAATTACATTTAAAAAACCAGCTATAAGACTTATAAAAAGGCTCTCTAAGCCACACAGGCAAATTATATTCGTTATTAATCCGACCCCATAACCTAGATAATGCTCGAAGAGGAAGCGCGTCAATCACATGCACCTACACAGAATAAACATTAGTGACCATCATGCTAACTAAAAATGGCTCAAGCAAATTATATTAGTTATATTACCTGCCAAGGACCTACTATAATGGGTCGAATTTCAGTTGATGTATCCTGTTCTTTTCGCTTTTCACGGCCATAAACGCGAAGTGTATGTTGAAATGCAATGAAAGCTATTCCTATTCCAATCGGAATAGGATACCAGGTTACTTTAGTTTTCTCCCAAGCCTCATTTAATCGTTCTAAAAGACAAAACCTTATTAAGCAACTCCGTATTTGAACATGCAATAAAAAAGTCCAAAAATTTACCCATAAAAGAACGTTCGTTCATTTGTGCCTTTTGTTGAAATCTTGAAGAAACATTTGTACGTTTAGTAAAAACAAAAGAAAGTATATTATACTGAAAATTAGCTCGAGCCTTAGTTTGTAGACGAAATGTAGTCCTTATAGTTCCAAGTAAAATCATTATTTAGAAGGATGATGAAAAAATGCCCATCTAATCTCAGATATGATCTGACCAATGATTATATATTTGCACGTGATTTTTTATCAAAATATCCCGGCTTTTTAAAGGAATTTTTTTTTCTACTCACCAGAAAACCTTCTCACACCATGCTTCGTTCATGCCGGCTATCTGGCAAATTTACTAACCCAATTAGCAGTCTCCTAGGACGTAACTATGCTAGTGTTGCTCCTTCACCTGTAGTTGTCACAAAGTCTAAAGCTGGAGTTACGGTCGTTTCAATTGAAGGTGAACTTATAGTTTACATATGAAAAGCCTTTTTTTGTAAAATTTTGAAAAAGTTGGTGGGTGTTAAAATTTATTCATTATCTATTTGAATTATGAACATAAATATAAAGATAATGCTCCCGCTTCTTCTGTTGCCGTTGTAGTAAAGGCTGGTTCCCGGGTAGAATCTATTGATAATGTTGGTGTGGCTCATTTCTTGAAGAATTTTGCTTTTAGGGTGAGGAATTGATTTACATTTATATTATTCTACAAATCTTTTCTATTTTGCAATCATAATATTTATGAGCTAACAATACTCTGTCCACAGAGCACTGAAAGCAAAACTGCATTTCGGATAACACGTGAAGCGGAACATCTCGGAGGAATCTTATCTGCGAATTTGACAAGAGAAAGTTTGATTTTTTCTGGTGAATTTTTGCACACAGATCTGTATGTAATTTTTTATAAGTAAATAATTTCTTTTTCAAGGAATAATTAATTAATGAAATTTTGTTTAACATTGATACAGTCCACATTTCTTGGAAGTGTTATCTGACGTTGTTTTTAAAACGAAATACGAACCGTACGAATTCAAGGATGTAAAAAAGAGTGTTAATTTTGAAAGAGAAGCAGCTGAGGCTATTCCTGAAGTTATAACTTTAGACGCGGCTCATGCAGTCGCATTCCGGCATGGTTTAGGCAATTCTTTATTTGCAAATGCTACAACAAAGGTCACAAGTAGTGAACAAGTTAAAGCGTTTTCTAATAAGGTCTATACTGCGCCAAACATCACCATTGTTGGTACATCTGTTAACCATAAAGAGTTGGTGTCACTGACAGATAAATTATTTGAGAAAGTCAGTCATACTGTCCCTTCTACACCGATTACTTCTAAATATTTTGGTGGTGAATCTAGAATTGCCGCACCAGGTAGCAGTCATTTTGTCATTGGGTTTGAAGGAGCTGCTGCAGGAACTCCCGAATACGCTATTCTTCAAGTTTTACGTGCTTATTTAGATGGAGAAACGCACACCAGATGGGGTGATGGTGTAACTCCATTAGCCCAGCTGTCAAATAAACTTAAAGATGTTCAGATTAGTTCGTTTAATACAGGATATTCTGATGCTGGCCTTTTTGGTGTACATATTTCTGGAACACCAACATCTATATACGCAACTGCTAGAGCTGTTTCTGAACTTTTGAAGCATAAAATATATCATATTTCAAAAGAAGATTTCCAAAGTGCAATAGCTAAGGCCAAATATTACACTGCTGCTGCCTATGAAACACGCGCTTCTAAAACTGAACTTATTGGTGGCCAGGTAAAAATCGTATAATGATTACCTCATACTTGTATCTTTTATTTACTAATGTTTTAAAAACTTCTATTTTAAGATTTTACACTCCGGCAAAGTTATCCCTATTTCAGATGCAGTAGATGAATTTAATCATATCACAATTGAAGACGTTAAAAATGTATGGAGACATTATCTAATGAAGTATTTTTCACAAAATACATATTTACTGAATTTTTTTTTTCTTATAAAATTAGATGGCAGAAAAACTTCTGAAAAGCACGCCCACGACTGTTGCATTAGGTGATATCAACACCTTGCCTCATGCAGATGTTCTTTAAAATTTTTTTTCATGCTAGAACCACCAAAACTTGTATTAAGAAAATATTGATTTATGTATTTAATAAAAAAGAAAATGACTATTTAAATATTTGGATTATATACCATTTCCTTTCTTATATCAATTAATAGGATTAATTACATGTTTTTTAAAATTTTTTTAAAAAAAGCCCTCGATAACTAGTATCTAAACAAAATATTCTTTGATACAGGTATTATCACATAAGGGCAATAATAAATATTTGACAACGTTAAATATATTATCCTACCTGCTGCTTAAAGTTAGCTTGAAGGTCTCACACAGTCTACATTTTATATAAATTTTAATCATACATGTACTTTACGTCTTTACGTCCCAAATTCCTCTTTTTTTCTTACCACATCACATGAAAATATGAGTAATATATAAAACGTGGTATGTATTAAAACCATGTGTAGTGATGTGTGAAAGCTGGCTTTATTTTGCAGACTAATTTTTGGAAAGGTTTATTTTTTAAAGAATGCGAAAAATATTCACTTTCCAAATTTAAAATCATATTTATTTACTTACTTATTATAAATTAGGCAATAGATTTGATATTTTAAAAATACTAGAACTACTGGTGATGATTACCATCAGTGAGTTCCTCACTGCAAAACACAATTATTTTTTTTATCAGCAAATTCAACAAATTGTAAATTTTGTGCCACATGATAATCATGTTCAATTGCTAATTCTTCATCAACTATGCCTGGATGCACCCGTTGTAATTCATAAAAAAGTAAATAGCCATGTCGACTAAATTCATTAAATAACATAGTTGTGCCTTGTAAGGAATTAAATTTTGTCACTCGTTCGTTTGAGTCAAGATCATCTAATCTAAACCACCCTTCCTCCTAGAATTAGATTAGAAAAAATCAATAAAATGTATTGTATTATATGAAATGAATGAAAGATATAAAGGTACTACATACATCATCTAAAGTAAACCCTTTATAATGTCCTGAAGATAGTTTATTACCATAATGACAAACAACTTAAATAAAAAGAAAGATGAAAAAAATTAATTATTATTAATGATATTAAGTCGCAAATAAAAAAGATTCCTCACCTGATCTTAATTTTAAGCGATAATGAACATCGATGCCACAATGGCATGGAGGTTCGTCTGCAGCATCTGAATTAACAAACCCGTTAAAATTGACAAAAGGAGGTATATATACATTTTTATTTATTCTAAATGGTTGTAGATTGTCATTATAGCCATAACGTTTAAGCACAAGCGGAAGTATTAAATTTGTTGTGGGAAAATGGGATTCAACCGCCTTTATCTTTTCACCTATATGAAGTGTATTATGTGTAAAAATAAAGGTTTTAATGGCAAATCAAATATACATATTCCTATCGGAGTTACCTTGCTCATTACTAGCAGAATAGAATGGCAAAAGCTTTAAAACTTGCCAAGCAGAAACTTCTGTCTGTCTAAAGTCATCATCAACCCGATTTATTCCAGAAACTACACTGTCATGAAAATAATTTACTAATGCCTCTTCCAAAGAAACGGGTGTTTCATCCATCGGATCACCAGGTATAGAAACTTGGATCAATCGTTCAGTAATAACACGCTCGTCATTTGCATCTGCGCTAGCACCGTGAAATAAATGCATCCCAAGAGGTAGATAGGGAAGTTCATAAAGACAAGATAAAAACAAAAAGAATTCGCTGGCATCCTCTTGTGTTGGATTTCCATAATTGTCTTCACCAATCCACCCGCAGGATATTAAACATTCACGCAATTGCTATTAATGTCAGCAAATCAATTGTGAAAATAATAATTACCGAAACAATAAGAGATAATAATCTCAACATGTTGGCTAACCTTAATCATATAAGAATTTATAAATTTGCCTGATCGAAGCCTATTTACAAATAATCTTAAATGTGTTTGTAAAACTCGTGCATTCACTCCTTCCGCCTGTACAAAAAGAAGACCATCGAAAGATTGAGTTCGTGCAAACATTGTAAATAAAACACTATCTACAATATAAAAATATTACATTTAAATTTTTTCTCAATTCGATACGTAAATAATTTATTAATATTCTTCTGAGTATTACCTATATAGCAACTAGTCATGCGGTCGTTTTCGCAACCCAGCATTACTATGTCCTTTTGTATATCTACTATTATCCCTTCTTCAGCTTCCCCCAGATCACTAAAATGTTCTGCCACTTCTCTTACATTCCATGCGTTTAGTTCTAAAAGTTTTTCTATTTGAGAAGTATCCAAAGGATGACCCAGCTCCTCTAGATACGTACTTAACTGGTCTATTTTACTTTCTTGTTCAATGTCATTAGTGGGTAAAGGCGAACTTCTACGTGAGGTAGGAAATAAAAAATTTATACTATCTTTTATTCTATGAACAGGAGAACGTGAAACCTTTATAGACGATTTACTCGTGCCAGAATCCATATTACAGCTGATTGCTGAATACAAATTCTAATTTTCCAAAATAACTTTATAGTCAACGTTCTCATCAAAAACGGTAAAAAATAATAAATCATTTTACAATAAAATTGTTAATTGTGTAACCCGCTCAAACATACTAACTTAATATGTTGTAACTTTAACATCCCGTGATTGCGCGGTTGCGCCTACTGCGCCTATCGGACTAGTTCAAAAAAATTCCGCACGTTAAATTCTGCGCCACAAGATGAAAGATTTTCATTGTCCGACACTGTCCGTTTACGCAGATATTATTTTCCAACTTTTCACCTTTCTCAAAGAAACAACCGCAGATCATATTTTGATAAACGATGGCAACACTCGCCGGTCACTCGAAATCTAAAAAACGCGTTTCCTACTTTTATGATGGTAAAGCACAGCTCGCGATTTTAATCAAAGGATTCTTTTAAAACTTATTAAAAATTTTGTATGCTTTTTTTTTTCTTTAGAGGACGTTGGAAACTTTACGTATGGTCAAGGTACAAATACAATATTTTCTTTAACATTATGCATTCGCGTGTTTACACGTTCATTTAAATACCAATAAAGGGAACTCTTCCGTTTTAATAGGTCATCCGATGAAACCACACCGAATGCGGATGGTTCATGATTTAGTTGTGAACTATAACTTATTTAAAAAAATGGAAGTTCTGGTATCCTTTTATGCTTTTTCATTACGAATTAAATTACGAAGTATTGAATTCAGAGACTCAACACAATTTAAAACGATATATTTGTCTTTAATTCACATACACGGATGCAAATTTATTTTGTTTGTAGAGTCCGAAACGCGCTACCCCGAGACAAATGACGCGATTTCATACTGATGAATACATTGATTTTTTGTGTAGAGTCACACCTCAAAACGTCGAAGAATTATCTATGCAACAAACTAGATGTATACTATTTTCAAAAAACAATTGTAATCTTAGTTTTCTTTGAATATATTCTAATTTATTTCTGAACTAATTCAGTCAACGTTGGTGAAGATTGTCCAATTTTTGAAGGGCTTTTCGAGTTTTGCACAATTTCAGCTGGTGGTTCAATTGGTAAATAGTAAAACATAGACAACTTGAAGAAAGTAAAAATTTATTTATATTAATTATTTTTGTATAGATGCCGCTAATAAATTAACCGGCGGAGAATCGGATATCGCGATTAATTGGTCCGGAGGTCTTCATCATGCAAAGAGGTTCGAAGCATCCGGTTTTTGTTACGTTAATGACATTGTGTTAGCCATTTTAGAGCTATTGAGGCAAGTGATTATTAGATCAGTCATAAAACTTTATAGTGACTAGATGTAAGCTAAACACGCGTTTTACTTTTCTATATACACTAGATATCATCAACGCGTTCTTTATATTGATATTGATATACATCATGGAGACGGTGTAGAAGAAGCATTCTATACAACAGACCGTGTATTAACTTGTTCATTTCATAAATTTGGGCAATTTTTTCCGGGAACTGGGGATGTATCGGTAAGTTGGTTTATTAATACGTTTATCTTTAAAAATCATCTAAAAATACAACAATTTTTGCACTTTAGGATGTTGGTATTGGCACTGGAAAACATTATGCAGTTAATTTCCCACTGAAGGATGGTATGGACGATTGGAATTATCAGAATGTTTTTCGACCGGTATGTAATATTTGATGTATTCATTTCTTCCTTTTTGAGTTTTATTTGTTTATTGTGCATTTTTAAAATAAGTTAGGTCGTAGAACATATTATGGGGTGGTACCGTCCAGGAGCTGTAGTTTTGCAATGTGGTGCAGATTCACTTGCGGGTGATCGATTGGGCTGCTTTAATTTGTCGATGAAGGGACACGCTGCATGTGTTGAATTTGTCAAAGGTTTTAATCTCCCAATGTTAGTTGTAGGTGGAGGTGGATATACTATACGCAATGTGGCTCGTGCATGGACATATGAGACTGGTCTTCTATTAGGAGAACATTTAAGTGAAGGTGACTAATTTAATTCAAAATCAATAACATAATTTATTATATTTTAATTTACGTTGAAAATATACACATATACTATATTTTTATTCTTATTGTTATTTATTTTATTTTATTATTTTTTTTTTTTGAAGATCTTCCTTATAACAATTTTCTGGAGTATTATGGACCTGAATATAAATTGGATGTTCCAGCTAACAATATGGAAAATATGAATACACCAGCGTATTTAGCTGATATGAAGTGAGTTATATTCAATTATTATTATTTTACGAAATTATGTATGTAATAATTAATATTCGATTGTTATAAATATTTAGGGCAAAGGTATTTGAAAACTTAAGGAACATTCCCTTTGCACCAAGTGTTCAAATGCAACGTAAGTATTCAAAAATTATCTAATGAAAAAAAATCAATTAATATATTTACTATAAATTCAATCAGAGGTTCCTTATGATTATGAATCAGAAGAGGAAGAAGATAACGAAAATCCGGATATAAGAATGTCACGTTAGTTACAACTTCATAATTTCGTTTATGTGTATGTATAAATAATTGTTGATGTTTCATATCTTCAAACTATTGTGATTTAGAACGACAACGTAATACACTCGTTGTACCAGAAAATGAACTTTCAGATTCCGAAGATGAAGGAAATAGACGGAATGAAAGGAACTATAATAGTAACGGAAGAGAATCTTCATCGCGTAAATCGCGTGCTAGTCATAAAAATTCATCGAATGAACATGAAGGACGTAGTACATCATCTCGCACGCATAAATCAAGTAGCGGAGTTCGAGAAAAAGATGGACGTAAAATGTTAAAAACACGTTTGATCGACGATGTATTGAATACTTCGATTAGGAGAACTAGTCCTTCAGTAGATCGTCCTTCAATAATGGTTACATCATCTCCAAGTACTAATACAAGCACATCTAAACATACTATTCCTTCGGGACCTGAAGTGGCAACAAAACAAGAACCTGAAATACTAGATTCAACCGTTTCTTTAACTCAACCTCAAGTCGAAGATACAACAAAAACGAACGACAACACCAATAATGTTGATAATAATGAAAACGATGATGATGAAAATAATAATAACGATATTAAAGACAATAAAGAAGAGATTAAAGACGAAAATAACGACAAGAGTAACGAACCAGTTGCAATGGAAATAGATACTAATGAATCACTTCCGGAAATTAAGCGAGAACCTGAAGATGTTGTAATGCAGCAGTAATTATTAAAAAAGAAATCGAATTTTAAGTGTTTTCCGTATTATTTATATCTCCTCGTCAATTATCATTTCACTACACTAACATATTTATACTGATTGAGTATATATGGCATTTATTTTTAAATAATTACATACGCATTGTTCGCGAGCCACTTAAGTGGCGCGTAGACTTGTATTAAAAGTTTGTTTATACACTGCTACTAGCATAATTTAACACACCTATTGACCTCTTTTAGCAATAGCCTATAAAAAAAATTATTATTGTTAGTTGATAATTTGTAAAAGTATATTTGTTAGAAAAAAAAATCATTTTTGCTCCTTACCTTTCTTACATTAACTATATCACCTTTCTTACCAACAACTTTTTTCAATATATTTAAATTTAATTCTTTTTCCTTCTTAACATCTCCAATACTTGGTTCAAACTTCAAAAAAATCGCAGAAATAAATAAATGAAATAATAAAAATTAAAATAAAGTTATTATTATTAAATCATTAGAATTTCATACCTTTCTTTTTACACCTTTCAATTTTAATTCTCCTTTCAAAGTCTTATCAAACTTTCCGATACTAGCAGTAGCTGATTTAGATATGGCAATTTGACGCTGCAATTCACCTTTCCGTAATGATCGGGCATCTGCACCCTTTGTTTGATTTAATGCAGCTTCAGACTCTTCAATATTCCTTCTATGACGTGCTTCATTCTTTGCAATACGTTCTTTTTTAGCCTCACGTCTTTTACTAAACTGATCTTCAAATGGATCTGCAAAATAAAAAAAATATAATGAATAAAATCTATTGATATAAAAAAAAAAAAGTTGATAAAAAAAAAATTACCATCATTTTGTGGAACGGGAATCAACCAATCGTTTGCACCGTCACCATTAGTGCCTTTGTAACCCCATCGGGGAACCCATTCACCAGTAGCTTCATCATATATCATTTTATTCTTATTACGGTGTTGTATGCCCTTAGCCTTTGCAAATTTCTCCCATCTTGTTGGGGGTTTAAGTTTTGGTAACTTTTTTATTAAAAAAAGAAAAAGTATAAAGTTGCGAGAGACTAAAATGTGGGATAGATTTAAAAGAAATAAATTTTCTGGAAAGTAAAGCACAAAATAAAAACTTACGGGTTTTTCTCGTGGAATAACAGTGATCTGTTCAGGTAATTCTGCTAGTTTACCCAAATCTGAAGTTGTAATTGGTAATTTAAATATTTGATTAATTAAGAGTTGAGTGCCATCTCTTGTATATTCTTTGAGATAGTTATCTGTGTCATTTCTTTATAAGAATTTAAATAAAGTAAGAGTTACTTTAGAGATATTTTAATTGAATCGACTTAATTAGAGCATTGTATTACTATTATTACTTTAAACGTGATTCATCTAATGCATTAGTATCAAAGGCGGCTAATAATGCGAGATCATATTGTAAAGGAATTGGTCTTTCTACCGTTATTGATTTACTTTATAAAAGAAGAAAAGGCTTTAATTTTTTTAATTATTTCTTATTTAAAAGAGTATATTATATTTAATAATAAAACATACTATTTCGATTTTTGTGTTTCGAGCTGGTCTGAAAAATCCATGATTTTAGATTATTAATATTTAGAGATGAAAATTTTTCTTTTTAAAAAAAATCATTTCCACGTGACTAGGTTTTTTTGATATGCATACACGTGAATCTGTAGTTCTGTACAACATGTACAACAGCAGAACTATTAGTCAATGTTTTTAGTTTTGATCAACCTTAAGAACTCCTCAAACTAGCACAACAACGAGCAAACTAAGTAAAAGAACATAACGTAACGTATAAACATAAATTTTTTGATTTTTTTTATCAATTATAAGTGAAATTTTATTTTTTATTTTGTGAACACAGAAACTAGTTTAAGGTTGACGGAAACTTTTGTATCCCAAGAATTATTTATAGTTAAGAAGTGTTCTTTGTTCAACAAGAGCACTATAAACTTTTTATTTATTTTAAAGCTAGTTAATAAAATAAATTGGGAAAAAAAAAATTATTTATTATTATGTTACGCGTCAAATAATTGAGAAACGAAAATTAACCTAAAAAAAGAATATAGTCATTAAACTCTTTTTTCTTTAATAAAGGAAATAATGAAAGAAAAAAAAAACGCGAAAGATACCAACTACAACTCTAATAATAGTACGAAACAATCTACAATGGAAATTTATAAATTAACAGCTACGCATAATGTTTTTAATAATAATTCTGGTCATAATATACAAATAAAGGAAGACTTTATGAAACGACAAGTTATTAATTCTTCGCCTAAAAAAATGCCAGATTATCAAAAGATGTCAGTTTACGAATTGAAGGTGAAGTTTTGATTTTTTTTTTTAAAAAAAATAAAGTAAAATAAATTAATTTTAATATTTATTTTTAGATTGCAGTGGCTAAATATGGAATTAAACCCTTAAGCAAAGCTGCTATGGTTCATCAATTAGTTGTTATTTGGAATTATCTACATCAGAATAATTACTTTGAAGATGAATCGTCATTAGAAAATGAATCAGAGAATGTTGTAAGAGATACTGAAAATAAAAATATTTTATCGACTAATTCTAAAGCTTCATCAGATAATATTGATCATGTTAAAGAACCTTCAGGATTATCAGATAATATTAAACGAAAAATCAAGGATCATATAATATCAAAATATTATGAAAAAATCATAAGATATGAGGTAAACGATTTAATATTAGATTTTCTTATTTCAATAATGATTATTAAAAATAACTTTTGATTATTAATAGCAATTGGAATTTGATGACATATATAAGGAAATTGTTGATCTAGGAATTCTTTGCACTGAAAAGCAATTACAATATTACTTGGACTTACTTGTAAATATATATATTTATATAAATTATATAAAATTATATATATGTGTATTATTATGGTTTAAAATTAATAGGAAATTAATTGATTTTATAGAATATACAAAATAAGTCACTGAAAAGAACTGATGAATGGAAAAAAGATCATAAGAAGTATCGTAAGACATGATACCCTAATGACATAAACCTTATGTAAAAATCTTGGAGTATAATTAGATAATCATTTTAAAAAAAGCATTATTAATAAAACATACTTGATTTAAAAAAGAAAATGGACAATATATATATATGTATATAACCGTTTTTATGTAATAAAAAACTTTTTTAAGGGTTAATGTTTTCTTGAGGAGAAAGAAATACAAAGGGGTATTCAAATATGCAAGAATGGTTATACAAGATGTAAATAAAAGATGTCAATCATTATGTACTCCTTAAAATTATTCTCCGAAAATTTTCATATATAGTTATTCATAAGACTATTCTATTCTTTTCTTTAGATAACTCTATTTTATTATTAAATACTTCAATTAAATCGAAGATTTCATCATTATCCTCTTCATCAAAATATCCAAGGTTTTGTAATCGATACAAAGATTCATGATTACTCTCTAATATAGACAAAATGTAAAAAGGATAAGAATTAGATCAGTAACAAGATTCAATGAATAAAATTACTATGTAAGATTACCAAGTGTATCTTGTGGTATTAATCCAGTTTCAAGTAATGTATTAATCAGGGTTATTATTGCTATAAATAACTTTCTAACGATTTAATATAATAATAAATTATTAGTTAAGAAATCTTAAAATAAAACATCCTTTAAGGAAAAATTTCTATAAATACAAACCTATCAATATCTTTAATTGTATTAATCCTTTCACAAATACTATTAAAAGATTCAACTATATTCAACGTCATTAATTCAAAATAATTTTCGGGTATTCCAATACAAGGTAATAATTTCAATATTTCTAAACTAATAAAAAATAAATCATCATTTAATGTATTTTTTAAAAAATAATTAAATCTAGGTATTAAATTATTATTAAATAAAAATTCTGATAAAATTAACTCTTGTTCAGAACTATAATGTGGTAAATTTTTTAATATATTTCCGATAAATCTTGTAAATTTCAACGATAAATATATATCAAGAAAAAAAAAATTTTTTAAAATGTTTATAAATTAATTTAAAATGAGGATCATAAAATTTAAAGAAAACTTTCTTACTTTGAAGCTTCAAATAATACTCGAACATCATCATTATTTTCATCTTTAAGAATGATTTTGATGACATTAAGCAAATCTTTGTCGCTAAATAAAATCATTGCTTTATCAGGGAAACAAGCTAAATTAGCTAATACACCCAGTGACAATTCTTGGGTTCTTTCACGCGACGTCAAGGTGATTATCTTTGCATTAATGAGATTTCACAAAGGTTTTAATATAACGTTTATCATTAAAATAAAAAAAAATAAAAAAAAAATAAAAAGAAGTATTTTTTCACCTTTAACATTATACGATGAATTTGACATTCGTTCATAAATATATTTGCATATTCTTCTAAACCAGTTAAGTCCCATATAACACATAAGGTTTTTTCAACAGGTGTATCTTCAAGATACTTATCATTATCGATATCATTATCGTTATCATCATCTTCTTCATTAATTATCGCTTCATTTTCGTTTATTGCATCAATTCTATTTTCATTTATTGCTGTAAGAATATTTAATATTATTCCAGCTACAGAATAAACCTTTGGCTTTTCATCGTTATCTTCAATTTTCGAAGACATGGGAAAACGATTTAGCTAATTTTGTTGCTAATTGGTTTAAATTAGAGATTTACATCGTATGACTATATGAATGAGTTATTAACCTAATTTTGCAATCAGGTTTTCATGGTTTTGGTAAGTATTATAGCACAATTCCAGAAATCTGGTATAATCAACTTTTTGCACCAGTAAAGAAAGGAAATTTACGTTTTATGCAGGTTCATCTTATAAATAAAACAATATATCTGCCAATATGGAGAAATTACCCCTTAAAAACACGTCACTGTCGTCACGTCCAAATATATATTTTTATTTAGAAGAATTCAATTAATTACTTATTTGTTATTAGCCTCCAGTTCGAAACTGGTTGTCTAATTTTTCTTTACTCTTTAGCGTGACTTCTTTTTACCCCCCTTAAAAAAAAAAAAAAATATTTTTTCCGATAGAGATTCTTATATAATAATTAATTTTTTTTAAAAAAAAGTGAGTAAGAATATTTAGACAATTCTTAGACAAAATTTTTTTCGTGAATAAAATAAGAAATCAAAAAAAAATATAAATATCATGTATTTTCTATTTAACTTATAATACCATATTTTTAATTTGTTTTGGTATATTTCATTTATTTTATTTTATTTCATTTTATTTTTTGATGCTTCTTGGGCTGTTTTTGCCTTTTACGAATATATTACCTCTCTAATTTGGGAAGAAATAATATATTAACACAACACTCAAAGCACGGTTGTTTATTTAGTTTCATGTTCTAATACTCTTATTTAATATTTCCCACGTGTATAAATATACTATTTTTGGATATTTATTGATATTTATTGCACTTATATTCTGAACTTTTCAAACCTGTATCTTTTTTTTTTTTTTTTTGNTTTTTTTTGCGAAAAAAAGTAATAATGTCGTCGAGTAGTGAAAGTGGTGGCGAAACAGTTAAAAGAAATAAGTACTAAAAATATTTCTATTTTCCTTCTCATTTTTTTCCTGACGTAAGTGAAAATTTAACTTATTTTAATTTTTATCTCCTAGTGTTGTCATTAAAGTTGGCATGGTAGGCGATTCGCAAATTGGTAAAACAAGCTTAATGGTCAAATATGTAGAAGGTTCATTTGATGAAGACTACATTCAAACATTAGGTAATTATAAAATTCTCAAAAAGAAAATTGGTGTATTATGATTTATATTTATTTATTCTTTCGTTATATTTGTTTTTCAGGTGTTAATTTTATGGAAAAAACTATTTCTATAAGAAACACGGAAATAACTTTCAGTATATGGGATCTTGGCGGTATGTCTTTCACTTATATATATTAAATATACGTGAGAAATCAATCGTGGGATTGTGATTCTTTTTCTTTATACACGAAAAATTTATTTATTTATTTATTTATTTATTAATTTTTAATAGGTCAGCGAGAATTTGTAAACATGTTGCCTTTAGTATGCAATGATGCTGTCGCTATTCTTTTTATGTTTGATTTATCGCGGAAATCCACTCTAAACAGTATTAAAGAATGGTACCGACAAGCGAGAGGTTTTAATAAAGTATGATTTCCCCCTTTTTTATTATAAGAAAAATTCTTTGAAAAAATTTGTTAATTTATAAAACGTTATGTAGACCGCGATCCCATTTTTAATTGGAACAAAATATGATCAATTTGCAAATTTTCCAAAGGAAGAACAAGAAGAAATTACAAAACAAGCACGTCGATTTTCTCGTGCAATGAAGGCTCCATTGATTTATTGCTCTACTTCACATTCAATTAATGTACAAAAAATTTTTAAGATTGTCCTTTCTAAAGCATTCGATCTTAAATGTACTATTCCAGAAATTAAAGAAGTTGGTGCTCCTATATTAGAATATGCTAGTCATAGTACTCCTTGAAATGAAATATTGAAGAGCACGTTAATAATATATTTTATTAATATTATATTATATAGCCTCTATTATTATTATAATTTGATGTTGATGAATCAAGTATATTACAAATTACATATTACAAAAAAAATTATTTTTTATAAAATAATGTAATTATAACTTTATAATGTTTCTTTTTTTGTTCTTTTATCAATCAATGGGACTTTATTTGGACATTTTTAGGTTGATATGTATTATTAGTGTAATTATATATATTGGATTAGAATTTTTACCCCCAAAATTTTTTTTCTTTGTAATTAAAGGTTTTTTTTTTCTTTCAGTGAAGATATTTACGTCAAAATTATTATTGTATTTAAGGGAGTAATTAAGGGGAAATTTATTATTAGTTCATCCTATCCTTTGTCAAAAAAAAATAAAGTATTACAGTATATTTAGTATATTTTAACTAATTAATATGAGTTACATACACCGGATGTAAATCTGGTCAAGATTAAAAATTTTTCCATAAAATTAATCCGATCGATTTTCCACACGTTTCAAATTAGAATGACTTTATCAAACGTAAGCTTTTTGATACAACAAAAAGTTGAGACTAAATCATATGAAGCTCATTAAACCAGATAAACAGTATAACCCATTATAGTAAAATGGATGTTGATTATTGCTCTACTTGGCTCACATCTATCTCTCTTTCACCCCCATTCATCGTAACACCAGGTTTAGCTAATCGTTCTCTATCAAGATCAGCTAATTTACTTTTAATTTTATATTTTAAATCATACATTTTTTTACCTAATTCATTGTCTTTCATGGACATAATATATCTATCCAATCCACCTTTCCGATCGATATATTTAAGAGCTGCAGGTGTACTTTTAATCGTTATTCGCTCGTTTAACGCTTCAGAATATAATTTAACTTTTTGTACATTTGGTTTCCATGTTCTTCTTGACTTATTACCAAATTCACTTATTTTATTACCAAATTGTATATGTTTGCCTCCATATAAACCTTTTAATGCTTGTTTATATGTCGCCTGGGTATTCCAAGGTACGGTTTCTTTCACTTTCTCGGTTTTTAGTTTCGGTGGTGAAGGAAGGGTTAGTTTGGGCTCTTTAATGGGGTAAAAGTACTTTGCTCGAGTACCACCTAATAAACCTCTTCTTAAATGTTGTGTTAACTGTTTTTTTGCGAAAAGACAAAGTGTTGAATGCATAAGTATATAAGTAAAAGATAAGAATGAGTGACTTTTTTTTTCGAAAGAAAAAAAAAAAATATCATCTGATAAATCACATAAATCACATGATTATCATGTGAATTTGCAGTTTTAACAACCAAATAATAAGCCAATTATTTTACACAATTAATCAATTTATAACAAAAGTCATCAAGGTTGTGCACTGTTCAATCAGGTATAAATCCGATTGGTAACTATAACTAAAAATTGGTATTCAATTAGGCTTCATCCAATTTTAAATCTTGTTTAAATCCTTTTTATAATAATTATTAAACATTTTTTGCCTTTTCAGGGTAACAAGAGATTTTTCTTATCAAAAAAAAAAAGAAAAGGTCCATTATAACAAAAGACTATCAATAAATAAATATATCATCTGTTTCATAAAGAGATAACATATTAGATATATCTTTTAATATAATTATAATGGCACTTTTCTTTTTTTAAATTTGCTTTTTTTATATATCTATAACTTGAAGAGAGAAAAAAAAGGAAAGATAAAGAGATAAAAAGAGATTAAAGATAAAAGAGATAAATGGAACAAAAGAAATAAAAAGCAAAAAAAAAAAGTATTTCGGAAAAACCCTTTATATACGAGTAACACGGTACACCCATGGAAAAATCTGCAAATCATCGATCTACATTCATAATTCTTATCATAACTTATCCATTATCCCCATCACTTATCTTTTTTTTTTTTAAGTCTAAAATTAATGTACTGTAATATTTTCTTGTCATTATTGCTTTTTAAATTTTAAACTCTGTTCGTTCGTAACTTGGTTTAATGACTTTTTTTCGTTCAATTTTTATTATTATTATTATTATTATGTAGTCGTTATATTGAAAGTTCTACGGTCTTAAATCTCTCGGATTAATCACCTGTAATACCGGTTATCGAATTGTGGTTTTCCTTCTCGTAGCGAAAATTATACAAATTTATTAGCTTTTGATCTCAATTATTTTATTAATGTTTATAGCATCTCTTTCTTTTCATGAATAACAATATAACCACCATGAATCACTTTTCTTTGGCTTATGATACATACTCGAAATATATAAATGAATTTTTTGAAAGTTCGAAACTTATACTGGACGACTATCTGGATAGTTTTTTAGAAAGTTCGGACCATATATATCTCATAATCATGAATAACTACTTTAATGGTTTTTTAAAATATTCAAATCATATACTTCGAGTAATTACGAATGACAGGTTATTAAAAATTTTTATTTTAATTCACTATAAAACACGACTTATTTTTTTGTTTTTTTTATTCTTATAAAACATATCTAATTAATATAAATAATTTATCAATTAGCGATTTGAATAAAATATCCGTCATCCTCATTACTCTCGTCACAGTTGTTCTTATGGCTTGTTTATCCTGGTATTATACCAACAGTAAAAATAATGTAAAAACATCAAATATAGACGGCAAAACCGAATTTATCTTCGTACTTGAGGAAGAATTCAATAATTCAACCACAAGTACAGAAAAAGATGACAATCTGACTGAAATTTCACGGGTACCTTTTCAAGAAAAAATTGGAGAACACGGACCTATAAACAAATCTTTAGAAACTTCATTCGCTTCACTTCAAGAAGAAAGTGATTTTACGATTAAATATTTACAAGAATCACGTCAAGAGCAAGATGTTGTTAAAATCAAAGAATCAGAAATATTATCTCAAGAAGATGCAAGTATGAGACTTAATGATTCCACAGAAATAAAAACCGAACCCGTGAATCAAGAGAAGTCTCATGAAGAAATATTTCACTCAGATTCTCATGAGCCTGATGCAAATTTGAGATCCAATGATTCAACGGAATTACTAACCGATCAAGAGAAGTCTCATGAAGAAGTACTTCAATCAAATTCTCATGAACCTGATGCAAGCGATGCAAGCGTGAGACCTAATCAAGAGAAGTTTCATGAGGAGGTTCTTCAATCAAATTCTTATGAACCTGGTGCGAGACCTGAAGATTATATGGAGTTAAAAACCGAAACTGTAAATCAAGAGAAGTTCAATGAAGTAGTACTTCAATCAAATATTCATGAGCCTGAAGCAAGTTTACAATCAGATTATGAAGAGATAAGTTACGAAGAGATAGAGGAGTCACTGTATCAAGAGAGTGATGAAAATCCTCTCGCGAATGCACCTAATACTATAATTCAGGAGAAATCTGAAGCAAGTGCGCAATATCAAAGTTATGAAGAGATAAGCAATGAAAGCGATGATAACCCACTTGCAAATGGTTCAGACAAAGTGACACTCCAAGAACCTGAAACGAGTCTTCAATATAAAATACAGCAAATATTGTCGCGTATCCCAAAAGCTGATTCTCCAATAACGCAAACAGGGTTGAATTATACATTTACGCCTAAAACAGAATCCGAGTCTGAAGTTTCTTCTCAATCAGATTTATCAGATATTGAGGAAACCAAGTATGAAGATGCTTATGTTCAAACGGATTTAAGAGGTTCACGTTCTATAATTCTAAATGATCAAATACCCGTAAAAGTGCCGTTACCGAATGAAACGGCATTGGATGTACTTGACGAATTCCGCTTATCTAACGTTGTGTATGCATTTAGCGGACAAGATTTGATAGAGTTTGAAGATTATGACGAAGAAGAAGAAATTCGTCGCTTCTTATTTAAAAAAGTAAGTGTTAAATTAAATATATATTATTTTAGTTTTTATTTATACATTCAATTATTAATTTGTTCACATTTTCCTTTGTTAGAATATTTAAATGGCATATATTTAATATTTTTGTATATTACTTTTTTTATTTATTTATTTTTTTTTTTTATAAAAAAAAAAAGAAATAAGTGTCAAAAATTGACTGATTTTTAATTTATTGTACATACATGTAATAATTTTATACATACATAGTTGTATTTGTAATTAAAGTGCGCATGCTCCGCAGTTCCGGAGTATCCGCAGTTGTAATGCGCAGTGACAATAGGCGCAGTTTGCCAGTTAGACTATTACCATTTCAAAAAAACTTTTTAATCATTACAGGATGGGAATGATCTGCAACATTATTAATATTGTCTATAAATAATCCATGAATTTTTTTTTTTGCACAGCACTCTCGCTGGTTCGGTTTTCTTAAAAAATCCTTTTATTTTACAAATAAATAAACTAAAAAACAAGAGGAAGAGAACCCAATATCATCTTAAATAAATCAATCAACCATAATTTTGTAAATATGTCTTCCATTGAACAAACTAATGCTACGTCTCAAGTTTCTTCTATCACTACCATAAATGATGGTAATAATTCGACTACCGCATCTGAGAATCATACTGGATCAAGGGAAAGTTACAGTGGAAATCGTAGTCGTGGTCGTGGTCGTGGTCGCGGTCGTGGCGGTCGTGGTAGAGGTCGTGGTAGAGGTGGTTCTTATGATTATAGACCACATAATTCTTCTAATCAAGAAACTATACCTACAAATTCTTCACCACAAACAAATAATTCATCAAGTAGTGATACGCATTCGATACCTAATCGAAATGATTCAACACCAAGACGTAATAGAGGGGGAACACAGAGAATTTCACAAAGATCACAATCACAACCAATGAGTGATAATAATATTGATGATAATGTTGATAATAATACTTCGGAAAGAGGTGAAAGTGTTAGTGGGGGTGGTAGGGGGTATAATAGAAATCGTTTTCATCATAGGAATCAATATCGAAATAATAATTCTAATTTTCATAATAATACGAACAATAATAACAATAATAACGTTCAAAATAATCAAAACACTTCAACGATAGATAGTTCACAAAATGAAAATCGGGACCAAGAAAGAGAACATTATAGCGGTTATGGTTCATCATCATATCATCGTAATAATAGATCTGATCGATCAAAAGGAGTAGCACGTACAATTCCAGATGAAATTCAAAATCAAAGTAATTTAAATCATAATAATGCTGCTTCAACTAGAAATTCTCGATCATCTGATAGGAATAATAATGAATCTAAAATTGACGAAACTGATCCAAAAGGGAAAACTACAACAACATCATCATCAACATCAACAGATCAAAGAAATTCACATCCGCGACCAATGAAATCATCGATGGCAAAACTTTCACCTGAAGAAATCAAAGATGTACTTACGTCAATCACGCATGGTTTATCAACTTCAACATACGAATGTATGATTTGCTGTGAAAATATACGTCCTGGCAACAGAACTTGGTCTTGTGGAGTTTGTTGGGCTGTTTTTCATCTTAATTGTACTCAAAAATGGGCAAGAAAGTCATCCAATGGCTCTAGAACCACTGAAACATGGCGTTGTCCAGGTTGTCAGAATATTTCTGACGTTATTCCGGAAAAATACAAATGCTTTTGTGGTAAGTTATTATTTGATTGAAATGTAATATTACATACTTTTATCTTGATCAATAACAATATTTACTAAAATTTATTATAGGCAATGTAGAAAATCCACTTAATAATCGATATCTTACTCCTCATAGCTGTGGAAATGTCTGTGGAAAAAAACGTGATTGTCCTCATAATTGTACATTGTATGTTTATTTCTTTTTTAATCATCATTCATTTGGTTTTAATTATTCAGATATTAACGTTCCGTAATTTATATAAATTAGGTTATGTCATCCTGGGCCTTGTCCTCCATGTTCCGCTATGGCACCTATTCAGCATTGTTACTGTGGCCGTGAAACTTTTCAGCTTAGATGTATTGATGCTAATTATGGTATCGGCAAATCTTGTGGAGAAACATGTGGCCAATTACTAAGTTGTGGTAAACATTACTGTGAAAAAGAATGTCATGATGGGGCGTGTCCTAGATGTAATATAAATGAAATGCAGAAATGTTATTGTGGAAAAACAGAACGGAAAGCAGAATGCGGAGATGGAATACCTATTCGCTGTTGTGAAGAGTTTAATAACGAATCTAATGTTTGGACTGGTCTTTTTTCATGTAATAATTCTTGCGACAGATTGTTGGAATGTGGGCATCATTCTTGTAAGAAAGAATGTCATCCAGTTACTGGTGAGCCAGAGCCTTGCCCATTAGACCCTTCAAGAGTGAAAACATGTCCTTGTGGTGCTGAAAGCATAGTTACTTTACTTGGCCATGAAAGATTATCCTGTACTGAGGAAATACCACTTTGTGATAACATATGCAAGAAATTACTTCCTTGTGGTCATGAATGTCAAGAATCATGTCATCATGATGATTGTAAACCTTGTACTTTAAGCATACGCGTCAAATGTCGTTGTGGAAGCACGGAATATGAACGTATTTGTTCTGAAGTAGTTGGTAAGACTGGTGAACCACCTACTTGTGATAAAATTTGTACTGGAAATAGGAATTGTGGAAGACATCAGTGTAATACTCGATGTTGTCCTTCTGCGAATAAAACCAAACCATCTAAAAAACGGGTCACTCAACAGGACGATGATGATGAGAATCATCGTTGTACTTTAATCTGTGGAAAAAAATTACAATGTGGCCGTCATTATTGTCAATTATTATGCCATAGAAGTTACTGTATGCGTTGTTTGGAGGCATCATTTGAAGAATTAACTTGTCATTGTGGTCGTACAAAAATTTTTCCACCAATTCAATGTGGAGAAAAAGTTCCACCATGTACTTTTGATTGTATTAGGTCTCGAAATTGTGGTCATCCAGGTATAAAACATCCTTGTCATAATGATGATGAACCTTGTCCACCTTGTCCTTACTTGGTTGACAAAAAATGTACGTGTGGTAAATCTACCGTTAAAAACGTACCTTGTCATCAAACAAATGTAAGCTGCGGACAAGTATGTGATCTACCAGTTAGTTGCGGAGGTCATCGTTGTAAACGAACATGTCATTTAGGGGATTGTTTAGCAAATACTTCAAATCAATGTACTCAAATTTGTGGAAAACCACGTAAACCTTGCGATCATCCTTGTGCTGTTCAATGTCATGCTCCAGCAAAATGTCCCGAAGATACACCATGTCAAACCAAAATTACTATTAATTGCGCATGTGGTCATCTTTCACAAAATGTAACTTGTGGTGCCACAATGGAAAATGCTCTAAAAATGGGAGATCGACGATTACAATGTAATGATTTTTGTGCTTTGGCTGAAAGAAATCGTAAATTAGCAAATGCCTTAGAGATTACTGATCGTGTAGGTGATGGGTATGTAAAAGTTTATTAACCATATTTTAGTTTCTCAAGTTTAAATTGAATATGTATGAATATATTAATTAATTATTTATTTATTTATTAGACCTTTTGCTAAAGCCATTCCAGAATATGAAGAGGATCTATTTAAATATTTTGCTGTTCACAAAGATTGGGCTAAAAACATTGAAACAACTTTGGAAGAGTTTATTATGAAGTCACAAAAACCTACTTTGAACTTTCCACCGATGAAGCCACCCCATCGCAAGTTTGTCCATATATTATGTGCTCATTATCGATTATCATCAGAGAGTATTGATGTTGAACCTAAGAGAAGCATCGTTGTGAAAAAGAAGGCTGATACCATAATTCCACCTATTCTTCTTTCACAAGCGTATATTAATTATAATAAATCAAATAGCAGTAACTCAACCTCTTCCGCAACATCATCTACGGCACCTGAACAATTAGTGCGCAAACAAAAACAACCATTTAATGCGATTTATTTATCAGAAATACAACCTGGAATGACAATAGAAGAACTCCATAAGATTATAGAACCATTAATGGGAAGGAACAAATTTCAAATTAAACGGGTATCGGATAGTGATATGACTGTCTTACCTTTAGTTGGTTCTATGCATATGGATGAATTGGAAAGCTTATTAGCGAAGCTAAAACTTTTATTTAAAGACCTTATAGTTGTGAAAGGAATAGCATCATGGGTAGAATTATGTTGGGTAAATTCTAAATATGAAGTAGTTTGGCGTGAAAGAGGGAAAATTTTAAACAACTTTGATGGATATAAAAGGGTTGAATATGATTTTAGAATTCCTTCAGTAATAGCAAATAATAATCCTTTTGATATATTGGCCAATGTATCAAATAGTACATCATCTGCTCGAAACACTGTTATTGGAAGTAGTGATAATAATAATAAGGAACAACAACAAAAAGTAGAACCTGCAGCTAATTTTGACATTGTTGAAAATTGGGAATCGATTTATGATGAATAATTTTAATAATCATCACATCACATTAATTACTATTAATTAATTATTATTTAGTTATCTATAATTGTACAGTTAAAATTAGAACAATATTTTAATTTATTAATCTTTGCTAAAATAAAATTTGCTTTTATGTGCTTAATAATTTCTTTTATCAAAAAAAAAACTTCTTTCATTTTTTTTTCAATTTGATTTTATTACTGTAACTGTAATCACGATGTAACTCTATTTTTCAAGTTTATGCACTTTCCTTGGTTGGTAATCATTGGCTAGAAAACTGATAGCAGATTCCATGTCATCTTTCAGGTATCTTAGTTTTCACACTATTTCAAAAGATGGAAAAGAGAATAAATAGTTAACAAATGTTATTTATGTAGTACTGGTATGGGACATATTTGTCTCTTTTGGGTGCACTACATCATGTGGAGTGAGTTCCTCGAGAATCAGATGAGTCATCAAAACAAGAAAAAATATACTTGTGACAAAATCGAGATGATGGAGGACATTTAATTTAACCTTTTCGGCGGAAAAATAAGAAATTGTACTATTTATTATTTATGTTCGGGCCGGGCAACACAGAACAGGAGAATGTTGCCCTTATCAGAAAAGAAACCAAACTCTGCGATCATCCTGGGCAACCGCTGCTCCGAATCAGACACTACGTGGACAAAAGAAATAACGAAGACCTTGTCGTCACCTTGTGGTTTCAAGCTCAATCTGAAGGAGCAAATATTCAAATTTAAGGGTGACGCGATGACTCAACCAATCTCTTTATGATAGTTGAAATGATCGCAGATCGTTGCCGTGTTGTAACTTCTATTAATCGTAATCTTGAAAGTAGAGATGTTATATGGTGGGAATTGGTGGATGTTAAAAGAATTAGTTATGATCATATCGTCATTATTGGAAACGTTACTGTGGATGGACTGTTTTGATCGAAATGTTCGATTGGTATTCACTGTTATGAAAATATGAATGTGTATGATAAATTTTGCTCAACTCTTTATTCTTTTAATGACGAAACCTTTAAGCAATTTGGTGATAATATTTTAGCATATTGGTATTATTTTTTCACAATATACGAGAAATTAAATCCATAGCAACAAAAATTTGTATAAATTCATCTTCTGAACGATTATTTTTTTATCTGTGTAATTTATCACGTGATTTTCGTAAAATTTTTTCTGATGCTTTTTTTCAATAATTTAGTTTTCATATTTATTGTAATTCTTTCTTTGATTTGTATTAATATACGTATCTGTTAATATTAATTTTTATAATAATGATTGGTGAAAATATATATAATTAAGGTTTTTGTAATAATTTTGCAAATTTATTAGAAAATAACAATAATGTATAAGAATTTTAATGAATAGTTGCAGTGATTGTATTATATAAATTTATTTTTGAAATTATTGTTCTTTTAAATTTTTAAATTGAAAAGATTATTATTCAAATATTTATTTATTTATTTTTAAATGCAATATATTTTAAACATATAATTATTTTTATTGTAATAAATAAATTTAATAATATTTTATTATTAATATATAGTATTATGTAATAATTGAATTTATTATTAAATTTATGATTTTATGTTACATAATATAAAACATAAAAATCAAGCTTAATAAAATAATATAACATTTTGTACCACACCATACCATTTTGTAATAGAAATGTAATCATTAAAAAATAAAATTATTATAAAATTTATTTATATTCTTTAATAAAATATAATAGAAATCAATTAATAATATCTCTTAAACTGTAAAGATTAAAATTAATTTTAAAAATTTTTGAATTTTTAAAATATCTTAAGATCTAGTGATCATAGAAAGATGAAATTATATTTGTTAGATTCCTCTTATTAAGGCGTATTTAATAGTAATAAAATCATAACTCTAAAATTGATAGATAAAAAGTTATATTAATTTATAAATTTTTAGATTTTATAAGTTATCCTGTCACATAATATTTGTAAAAGGACAATTTTATTTCTATCAGATTCTTCTCATTAAGACACATCAAATGGTGGTAATTTTATATTTTTAGGGTTAATGGATAAAAAGATATTTCAATTTGAAAAATTTAGCTACTATTTGTTATAATTTGTTGATCATTTACTTTTAAAAATCATTAATCAAATTGAACTTTTCTTTCAATTTTTACTTAGAAAACACTATAGAATTTATTACAAAAATATTGGTTTATGTAATATAAAATATTTAAGGTATTTAAAAGTATCTTTGATTAAAAAACAAAATTGCAGGCAAATTTGGCTGCAAAATAGTTTAAGGGTTAATTTACAATTCTAGCAATATAAATATAATCAAAGTTAAATACTTTGAATATTAAAAAAATATTTTTTTTTATAATTTAATAATTTTAAAATATTTAATATTATTTTAAAAAAAAATTGACATTTAAATTATTATATTTATTTAATTAAAATATATTTAACAATAATAATTTTATATTTCTATAATAATAAAAGGCACTAACTTTTAATAATAATAATGATTTTAATAATACTGCTAAATCAAAAACTTAAAATTTATTTAAATTTATAATTATAATATTTAATAAAAAAAAACTAAATAAATTTAAAAAAAATTATAATCATTTATTAAGAGTATGTTTTAAAGATATGCATATTGTATTTATTACAAGAATTATTTGTATGTATATTTGGTTAATCATTGTTTTTATTTTATTTATACCATAAAATTAAAAAGTAAATAAAAATTATTATTTATTTAAAAAAAAGTAACTGTTAAAATAAAAGCAAGTTTTTTTTCAATAGATTTTAAAATAATTATAATTAAATGTTGAATTTAATATAATTTGTATTACAAAAAAAAAACTTGACTTTACAAATCAATTTAATTTCTTGGAATTATAGCACTAACTTCCCAGGTTGAATTATTATCTACTATACTTACCGTAATAAATTTCCTTTTAAACTAAATTAATTAAAAGAAAATCATCTACATGGAATATCTCTGCTCAAATAATTTCGTTTCAGAAAAGTTTCATAATCGTAAGATGTCCGGGATATTTATAAATATATTACTTGCATAAAACATCCAACATTCCACTTCCCTAATTCCTCAATGATTTGCAACATATGATCATCTAATAGATTATCAAAGATCAATATCAAAAAAAATTTTATGAAAATCACGAGATTTTAAAATTGAAACATCATTGGATAAAAATGTAAATAATAATCAATAATAATAATCAAATGTCAATGTTGTTATCCGATAGAAGAAATTGTTATTTAGGTAATACAAATTTACGAAATTTTAATGCAAATAATAGATAAAAAATATAAACATTAACCTGAATTAAGTAAAATTTCATGACATTCTTGAGTAGATAAAAAACCATGATTTACAAACAAAGCATTTTATTGGTTAATTATATTTAGCTTAAGGGGGAAGAAATCTATAAAGGAAAAATAAGTGACATAATAGGAAAAAAGTGGGGTTCACGCTGAAAATGAGATAACAACTGGTAATATTAAAATATTGGTGGGGCAAAAAAATTATTTCCAAATGGAAAAAAAAAAATCAAGATTCTTAACGAGAACTCATTAAGAAGGTTTATAAGAAAACTCGATTTATTTATTTATCATAAAGTTTTATGACTCGAAACAAATAAATATGTAAATAAATCTGTAATCTATAAAGAATGTTTCAGAATGTTTGTTTTCATATGTCGCAACTTTTTACTTAAACCTAAATGAATTCTGAGAGTTGATTGGTTCATTCTAATAATATTGTAAACCCTTGGAATAAAAAATTTTGTGCACGACAGTTACAAATTAAAATAAGAAAATCATTATTGGATACCCAAAAATAATCCCCAAATTTTGTAGTAATCTATCCGATTTTTAAATGGATAAATTATAATAGAAAAATATTAAAGGAAAAAAAAATTTCCATAAAGAAGACTACAAAGAAAAAAAATAAAGTTTGAGTTCCTCCAATATTAGATATGAGAACACAAACTGTGGATCAGATTATGGTGCGATTAGGCGCAGTTAGACTCTCGATGAAAAATCTCGTTTCACATGAGTTGAACCTCTTTTAGGAAACTTTGCAGGAATGTCACATGCTTATTAAGTCAAAGCTAAGGTTAATCTTTTTTTCCCTAAAAATAATAAAAGTAATATTTTTTTCTCTCTCGACTTGATAATTAATAACGTAATTTATTTCTCTCACGCATCTGAAATGAGAAATTTACTCATGTTGTCGTATGTACTATATCAGTATTTTTATAGATTTTTATATGTAAGATAAATTCGTGGAGGAGGTACAGCTCGGAATCGGAATCTTTTTTTTAAATTGTGGATCGGATGTGAGAAAAAGATGTTGATGATAAGATAATGCATATATTAGCAAGTAATGACATCTTTGGGAGTTTCTCGAACTTTTAAAAATTTACGAACTAACCATTGTCTCATTGTCTCATTAACGGAGAATTAGCCTTAATTTTTAATTCACTCTGCATCTTCAGAGAGTTCGTTATTTATATCTTTTTTTTTTAGGAAAAAAAAAAAAAAATTATTATCTTTCGGTCATATCCTATATGTAATATCCAAATGGAGGATTTTTTACCTGAAAAATCTTGATTTTTAAGGTACGACTTATTATAATATGCAGTTAGTGTAATGCCAGATTACGCAGGTAACAATTACAACTTTCTAATATATTATTCATTTTTATTATAATAATTGGTTCAGCCTCATTGATAAATTTGAAAAGAACTCTTTTAACTTACAGGTTACAAATTCGTTTTACATGCTTTGTCGATCTTTGAAGGCTTAGTAAGTAAATTATTTTTAATACCAAGAGAAACTTTCTTTCAATAAAAAAGTATGAAAGAGAATTAAGGGCTATTGTGTAATACGGTATTAGAATAAATTTAGGAAGTGATAATCAATCAAACAAGAAGGCATGTAATGATGTAAATTTCGGGAGATTGTCAACTTTCATTATTTTTAATTATTAAAAAAAAATTTTCATTTTCATTTTCTAGGTGATTTTAATTAATTACCAAACCAAAATGATCCTCAATTTTCTTTGGAGTGTAATATCGTGGTTCAATTGTTTTGGAAATATTTATTTGTGTGCAATTGTTTTCCTTAAAGTTAAAACTCTAAATATAACTCCCCACAAATATATCCAAATATATTCTTATCACATAGTAATTAAATGAGAAATGACATCACTTCATCGGCTAACTTAACGGTTAAACAAAATGAACAATATTGGTTTTTACAATTTGACTTCGCGCCCAATTTTTCTATAATATATACATATCAATTGTGTCTCTTTTTTTTTTTCAATCTTTTTCTCATTCTTCTGTGCTTTATTGCATTTTTGTTTTAGGTAAATTATAATCGATGTGCATGCATAAATCCAATCATTAAAAAGAGATTGATAAATTTGTAAAGGAAAGAACGAGAAGAAAGGAAGAAAAAAAAAAAAAAATTTTTTTTTATATTCAACAATTATAGCTCTGAAAGAAAAAAAAAATTTTAATTAATACTCTAACGTTCTTTTCTAAACAATTAACCATATTGTCTACCATTAAATATGAAGACTTTTTTTTTTTTTACGAATGAAACCAAATCCTTGCGCAATATTACTCAGTTTGAAAAAGTTATCAGTTCATTTTAATAAGACTTTCTCATCCATTGTTCATACATTGTTTAAAAAAAAAATTTTTTTTTAAATGTTTCGAATAAATTTACTATTGATAGAGCTCTACGTCATGTCTACTGTTCAGCCATCAATCATTTTTTGACAGCCAAAAAGTCATCTTCAAATATTTTCTCCTTTTATGAAAAGAGAATTATTACCGAGTTGGAAAGTTAAAAACAATAGTAACAAATTTATAATGTAAAATAAGTTTGGATGATTAGAAAATCATATGCTCTTTACGTACATATTGAGCATATATTGTACGTACATAGCATATATATCAAAAAAATTTTTTTTTTTTTTTAGTATTAAAACTTTTCTTATTTTCAACCTGTCTCTTATACACANAATTTTTTTTTATATTCAACAATTATAGCTCTGAAAAAAAAAAAAAAAAGTCTGAACACAGTACAGGGACCACCACCGACCGTTTTTCCGTAAATAATAATTACTCATCAATCATATAACAAATCAAGTAAAATTTTGTTTTACCACACCACATATCATACATATTATACTAAAAAACCCTAAAAAATTTTTTTTTTTTTCTTTCTTCTTTCCCCCCACAATTAAAGAAGACCTATAGCTCGAAATATATATATATATATCTTTTATTTCTTTTCCTTTACACGTATATATTATTTATTGTATTATTATTATCCTTATTATTATATTATATATATTATCCATTATTATTTTTTTTTCTTCTTTTTTGTTTGTACTTTTATATAAATATAGAATAAACTTATTTTTTTTTCGTCCAGTTCATTGAATAAATAGAAGTTACCTTTTCGGTCTTGAAAATATTTTAGAGTTTCTTTGTGGTTAATAACAAGGAAAAAAAAATTATCAAAAGATTCTATTAAACAACCAAAGATATTTTTTATACTTTAGATTTTATAATTAATTACTTTAATTTTTTTCGATACAACAATATAAATCAAGTAACACCTAATTTCACCAAAAGAACATTTCGACATAATGCCTTTCCTTAGTAAGTTAAAGAGTGTTTTCTGCTGCAACACCAACAAGTATATACTTGACGACGACGACGATGATGTTGCTTCCATCATTGAACGCTGCACCATGAGTCAACAAGAGGAGGAGGAAGTTTCGGAGAAACCATTATTAAATGACTTTGAAAATAAGTTCGATTCTCCTACAACAAGACCTTTCTATCAAACCAACCAAGTCATTGTAAAGTCCGTATTAAGGAAGAAGAGAAATGCTTCCGTCTCCTCTACAAAAAGTCATTCACCAAGAAGAAGGTATAATATTCTACTCTTCGGGGATAATTTAACAGCTGGTAAGATTTTCAATTGAATATAAATTATAGATTCTTTTCATGATTCGGGTGGGTTAATTGAAATGTTTTCGGACTACATCGATATATGATGTTCGAATTGATTGACGTCCATCCGTTCATCAGCGGCTTATCATTCTTTTACTGAAATTAATTATACTGAATATCAAAATTAACACGTCATTTTTTATTTTAATGTTAAAAAGGTTGGGTAAAAAATGAAGATGGTTATGGTACATATCATCCATACGGATTGAGAGTACAAAAAAGGTTCGAAGATGAAGGTTTAGATGTAGAAGTAAGATTATCAGAAAATAAATTTTTTTTCGCGTTTATCTCCTAATTTTCGGACAAGAATTCGATTTCTAAACCTATTTTTAAATAATTAACAGGTTACAGTGAGTGGTGTTCCCGGTGAATGTGTCGTTCAATCTATGGAAGAACGATTAAAACATGAATTAGAACAACCCGGCAAATGGTACGACTGGGTAGTCATTCTTGGAGGTAAATAAATAAATTTACTTATATGTTAACTTGAATAATATAATATATACAAGTATATACAAGTTTATTACAAGTATATACGAGTATATATAAATTATGTCATATACCTATAATTAAAAATATATATATACATTCAATTATTTATAGGCACTAATGATGTGATTAACGGATATTCCGCCTGGGATATTTATGATGGACTTAAAAAATTGTACGCATTATGCTCGAAACATGGCGCAAGAATTTTAGGAGTAACAGTTCCGGAATTTGATTGGGTAATTAAACAATTTGCAGAGCGTTGCATATGTTTCGGATAGATTTTATCGTTACATAATATATTTAATTTGGAATTTTCTTTGTTGAATTTTTTAGGACTTGGTCAATCATTTAGATTATCAGCGTCGTATTGTAAATGAACACCTTAAGTAAGTCAAAATTTTTTTTTTTTTACTATTCTTTTTATACTTCAAACCATAAATGAATTTTGTTCGTTTAATAATACTTTTCTTCTCTCATCTAGCGTTTACAATAATAGCACCACGAGGAACGCATTCACACTCTTCTTGTTAGACAGATTCTTCCCAATGCAATCTTTAACAACGGAACAACGAAGAATCTTTTGGGATTATGATGGTGTACACCCAACCGAGGAAGGGTATGATCTCATGGGAGATATGGTTTGTATTCCTAAACTTTATTATATAATCTTGTCACGTGATTTCATGTGAAAGTTAAAGTATATACCCGTGATAGCATGATGTTAATATCTTATCTTGCATAATCACGACAATATAGATCTTCGACCTTTTACTTAAAGAAGGATCATGGGATTAAATTGCATTGCCATATGGGAGACAATATTTTTGAGCAACAATATATCGTTCTTATATATAAACATAAAAACTTTCTTTTTTGGTTTTGCTCAATCTTTGGCCTTTTTTTTCTTACATACTAGATCTATATTCAAAAAAAAAAAAAAAAAAATTCGAATCAATTTTGATGATGACTTTCATCATGTTGATTTGAGTTTTTTTTTTTTATTTTACTTCTCTTATCGTCTCCCTTTTTTCTTTAAATAACGATAATGATTTGATATCAAATCGAAACTCGGAGTAAAGGGAGTTTCACTTCCCACACATTAATTTTTCTTCGTTGCTCTTCTCTTATATATAGAAGTGGGAAGTTAGAAAAAATTGATGTCACAAAAAAATTTATATTATAGAATTTGGGTTTCATAGTTGTAGATTATATTATTGGGTATAAATATTGGGAAATTGTTGACATCAAAAAAAAAAAAAAA